GTGTCGTCGTCGTCGTCGTCGTCGTCGTCGTGTGTGTGTGTGTGTGTGTGTGTGTGTGTGTGTGTGTGTGTGTGTGTGTGTGTGTGTGTGCGTGTGCGTGTGCGTGTGCGTGTGCGTGCACGTGCGCGCGCGCGCGCGTGTCTGTGAAATTTAATAAGAGACTGTGAAATCACAGCAAAATTAATATGTCAACAACTTCGGCATGTATATCAACAAAATGTGGTTTTAACCTCTATGGATTATTTGGGTATTTCCCCCATCGATGTCGTATTTTTCTCGATCTCTACACGTCATAAGTCACGCACCACCTTATTAATTACAGTATATATGAACCTATACCATAGAATAATAATATCCTTATACCTATTGAATTATCCCATTTTTATGTACATTGGTTCGTGGTATTATGATTACTTGCGAATTACTAATCCGTTATGTAGTTATAACCTGAAGCAAACACATATTAGCGTAGCTGTGGACGGTGGAATGTTTTAATTGTCAATACACCCCTGTTCCTAAAATCGTTGCGTTAGTGCACATGTAGCTATATGAAAGGGGTCTGTGTACCGCGTATCGTTTTCGTAAGACCACGTACGTACTCGTGTCAGTGTCGATGTACAAACGGTCAGCCGTTGTCTATGTACGACATGTCAGTCGATGTGCACAGTATTCTTGATAATGCGGCTCGACCTCCCTAGTTTCATGAAGGGACAAGTTGTGAAAAACAAGCAATAGTTCCAGAGTCAAGTTCTAATAATGATTTCGAATAATAACCATGTGTGTCTTAATAGAAAATAACAAGGTCACGCACCGGGTTAGATATGAGTGGACTGTCAGTGTCAGTGTCCGGTGACAAAACGATGTATGTGGAGGGGCTACGATTGCGCATGTCAATGGTCGCATTGGAGGTGGTCGCGGGGTTTTTAAAGAGCCGTTTAAATGTCTTATTAAAACCAAACACGTAGCAATACACGTTGATTGAATTCATAACATCTCTTCACATATATAATGTTGATATTTTAGTCGAATATAACCGCAAGCCTTCGCTGCGCGCGTGTTATAGCGCTCATGAAACAAGCCAGACATAGAACTACATTTTCTGCAATTAATGCGCATGAATACAATTTCATCCGCGCACGGTTATTGGGCTAAATTTGTGCTACGTTACCCAACACGCGTTATTTAGTTCAGCACTGAGAGGAGAGAAGGTTGTGTTCGTAGAGTTTGTCGCGATTTCGTTGCGTTTTTCTTGATTTATTTTGTTCCGTTTGTGAAGTTAACATTCGGTTTTATGTCTAAGCCGTACTGGCACTTCACACGAGGAAACTGTAGGTTGTCATCTTACAAAACTACGTATTATCTGGAATAGAAATTTCTGTTCCTACGATCACGCCATTTTGTCCGGCACTTCCCCGTTTTCCCCACGTCAACCAACAGTGCAGTGATCATCTCTGTGCGCCACGTGTGGAGATAGTGTTGGAAAAATAAGCGAACACATTTCAGCAGCCACACCTGAGAACGAGAGACTGTGTTAACGTGATTGGTTTATACCCACTGCTCACTTTTATAAAGGCAACTTCACGCGAAGTCGAAGACGACCATGGTAAGTAAATTCACTCTTCTTTTTACTTCTAATGACATGTTGTGTAAATTACTTGGTGATGCAAGTCCTGCCAACCGTTCAATTGTGCATTCGCACTGATATTTTTATCCCCGAAATGTCAGTGACACTAAAATGCATGCAGCATGGTATCTAGATTATAGATGTACAATAATGTAACCCAAACACAAGATAGGGTTACAACGCGAGCCTATTCTTTTCTTTGGAGGAACCCCTGAGTGAATCACTATGGGTTACATTATTGTCTCTACATGGTACCCCGCATAGTGGTTGTAATTTTTTATATTTTTTTTATTTAGGCAATTATCCATCATATACAATACATAGCATACTTTTACAATAAAATTCTGAATTCATAAAATTGGATAACTACCAAGGATATATATATGGAAGACTCCATGAGTGGTGAGGTAACGGGAATTAAGGTTGTAAAAGATAGATTGAAATTTCTTTCCAGAAAAGCTAAGTATTTAAACAGGACATGTAAAAGATTACTAGTTTCTGCCCTAATTCAATGTCATTTTGACTATGCAAGCAGTATATATGGTACAGCAGTCTCACAAAGCGCACAAGGGCTAAGCTGCAAGTGTGTCAAAATAAAGCCATTAGATTTGTTCTCAACCTAGGTACTAGAGCACACATAGGTGCTAGAGAGTTCAATGCTGTAAATTGGGTACCTGTAGAGTTCAGGCCTTCAGGGTAATGCAACTGAAGGTCAATAGGGTTTTTAAAATATTACATAATCTTGGCCCACAGTATATGACAGAAGGTTTCATGTTAACGTCAGAAGTCCATAGTTTCAATACAAGGGAAGGTGAGATCTCTATTTTTAAACTGAGGGTGGGAAGCAGTGGGAAAACTCTTTTACTTATACTGCAATTGAAGCTTGGAACTTTCTACCACAGCAAGTTAGGACAAATTCTGTTTATTTTAGTTGGGCGTGTGGCTATATGTATCAGAGTGGCTATATGCCCGGCTGCCGGCATATATCTGACGGCTGCCAGGCACGGTCTTCGATTTCCTAAATGCTCGGCAGTTTTTAATTTTCAGCGTTATCTCAAGTAAACAAGGGTTAGGGTTAGGGTTAAGAACTGCCGGGCATTTAGGAGATCGAAGACCGTGCCCGGCTGCCGGGCATATAGCCACAGCGTTTAAGTATAGTGTTAAGAAATGTCTGATGGAAAAGGTAAAAACATTAGAGGCAGAGGAGTATGATTTTCGCTAAAAGCATTCGGTTGAAATTAGGCATAAGAAAAGTTTGTATTGTCTTATGAGAATGTACCATTATGACCTGTTAAAACTACAAATTTGTATATTTCAATAGTTAGTGCTGATAGTAGTGTAATTGTTAGATTCAAGGCATAGCAAAACAAGGACCACAATGTAAATAAGTGTGCTAGTCATGCTTTTTGTGTATATATAATAAAAGTTTGACGTTAACTGCCTTTGCCATGTCATTAACATAAATCAGAAATAACAGAGGAGTTATACTCCACATGCAATAGGGTCCTTGTTAGAGAAGGTACCTCCTACATCAGTTATTTGGCTTCTACCAGACTGAGAGAGATAAGCACCGAACAATTTCACAGTCCTATATATTAATAAAGTAATCGTTGTAGATCAAAATCATTAACATTTGTACTTCTACTTGTTATGTTCATGACGTCGTGCCTATTATTTTCTCGGTAACCGAAATAGGTCGTGCTCATTTAGATCAAAGATAGTTTGGGACCCCGTAAATGTGTTTTCGCATATATAATGTGCTAAACTAGGCTTGAGCCATAATTTCTAGCCTTGTTCTACTACACAGCTAAACCAATGTCCTCTCGAGCGCAGCACGTTCCCTTTCCATTGTTTTATCGGTCGCTGTACCACTTCTTGTGCTGCTACCAAAAGTAGTAGTTACTTCTCGTGGCTTAATTATCAATTATAGTAGACCTGAATGAGTTACTTCAGTCCTAAAATCCAGGAGAAATGATGGAAGATATTCTGTATGTATTTGAGATGTATGATTGAGCATATCCTCCAGTCAAATTCAAATAGCATATATATATATATATATATATATATATATATATATATGTCCAGCTTTATTAAAACTGAATGTGTCTATTTTGCATTTTATGCCACAAAAAATGTTCAACGAATATATACATAACTGTATTGAGAAATGACTGTTGTTAATATAATTTTGAATTTTCTGATATGTCCACTTCGTGGCATTCTTGCCATTCGTGTCAGAGATATTATATGTGTCGTTGGTTTCCCTAAACGTGTGCATGATATGGCTCGTGCGAGTGTCGTAGTTGTGCGTGTCTTTGACCTTGCACGTGCACATACATTTTCTCATAACAATTACTCATTGTCCAGCGCACATGTACGTAGCTCAACTCAAACCTCGCTGGCTTTACCGGCTTCTAAAATGGTTCTGTTCGTTCCAGTAGCTATGTGCGCAGTGGCTGTGTATCATATGCTAACAAAAAAAGAATCTCACTTGCGAGAGGCGTTGGTAGTAAAAGCCGTGCAACGCGTCGATGATGTGTCTAGTCGCAGCAGACGCGAGTGCCAGATTCCTGCCTGTTGTAGTATTAGTATCGTGAAATATATAGCTTCCCGCGATGAGCATGTTACACTGCGATTCACGTGTTGCCATGATCTGTCACAGCGTGAAGATAAGTGTGTACCAAAGTATCGCCAGATTCATGGTCAGCGACGTGAACGTACGACATTGCGTTTACGTTTTATGTACCTGATAGCGGATTGTATGCCGCTTTTTGTATTCTAAAGCATGCATTGTGTAATGTCGTGAAGAAATATGCATCGTGTAGTTGGACGAGAGAGTTACGCTTGTGTAATAATATATGAGACAGCAGTGAAGACTTAGTAATTATTATCAGGAATGAATAATAAAAAAACAGATTGTACCTATTAGCTCCTGACGTAAGTGTGAATCCGATTGAAAATGAGCACAATTCTTGTGCCCTCTTCTGTTATTATATGACATTGAAAAGTAAACAGTCTGTCATCATGTTTTGAGAACATGTGAAATATTCTTGTGCTCTCCCATTGTTAATGCCATAAATCCAAGTATGCGCTCACACCTGTATTGAATATTATAAGTATCTGGTTAGAATCATATATATATATGTACTTGTGTTGATCCTGTAAACATGCTACAATTATATTCTTAAATATGTATGGTATAACTAACTCTTCAGTAGCATGCAATTAAGTTGCATAATATCTGGTGTTGTCTGAATCATATTGACATTATTGTAGTCTGTAGACAGTATTTTTTATTTCATATATATATATATATAGATTGGAATCAAATTGTGCTTCCATTGGTAAAATAAAGCTGTCGTAGAGCGATTACATTCGTTAATTAATTATATATTTTAGCGATGTTTTACACCAGCAAACATGGAAGTGCATTTTAAAATAGAATCATTTGACAGTTTACTATACAAAAAACGTTTACGGGTATACCTACATTAATAATATTATTTTGCACTCTATTAACCACAATTCTTTAACATTATATTTGTGCAAAAAAATAGTAAAATAAAATTAAGTAACACGAACCCGGCTTTTCATCCTAGCTTCAGTTCATGTCGAAGAATTGTGGGTCGAAGAAATATGTAGTAGATATGTTTTATGAGAACTGAGACTAGGTATAGTTACGGCTCTTTATATCCAAAGCTAACGTTCGGCTAAAGTGCAGTTATCTGTTTGCTTCTGCACAGAGATTTATTACGAAAGTGCGATACAGCTTTGTAAGCAGTCGTCTGTACAGTGTAGTGTGTGTGGCCCCAGTTACTAGTACTACTTACAAACCCGTTGTCTCCTATAATAATATATATATATATGGAAAATACTATCAACCTGCTGTTAGCGTTGCATGCTGTTTTCTTTTTTATTGTCAAATCACTTAGTACACGCATTACACTTGCAATTTTTTATGCAGAACTGAGCCAATGAAATGGTTTTAATTTTTTAACAATTTGTACGAAAACGTCTTATTGGGTTCAAGCCAGGTCATGTAGTATTAAATGCAAATTTAAGATTTTAAAATACAGCCCGAAGTTGGTTTACCTATTGTGCTTTGCTATCTTTTTGCAATGTATTGATATAGCGGATTCTAACGTTGTATGTAATTTTGTAAAGGTTAAAATCTAATTTGAATTGATTAATAATTTACAGGTATACATAAAGATTCAGTATGCAGGGTTAAGACATTATCGTGGATTAATGTTCACGATTTATTGTCATCGTCTGTGCATGCGGTCGTGTGTGTGAGGGTTTATATCTATGTCAGGGGCTGAGCAAATCAATTTGGAATACAATATTATGAAATGCATAATTTGAAGTTGTTGTTGAATAGCATGATAATATAATAGAGAAAGCGAGATGCATAAGCTTGCATATAAATACTGAATGTTTCGTTTTATTGACTGTGCAGCAGCAGCAGCAGCAGCACAAGTGGCTTCTGTCTCGTGCACAGCCGGTGACTGCGCGACGTGCCGTATAAAGCACATGTATCCGAAGGCAAGAAATAAGTCGTCGTTGATGAAGAAGTATTCAAATCCCGTCTAATAATACACTCTGATTCCCGATGCTGTAGACGGGCGTATATCGACTGACTTATGTTAAACGCGTTAGAAGTGCTGTGTATAATGGCGTCATATCTGGCAGTCTTCTGAGAGCGGGGATTATAAGATGACCTTTCGCTGCATCCGCCGCGCTAGCTGTATTTTCTGTGCTGTGGGGATTGAGCCTTGTATAATGTTCTTTCATGGGCCTAGCTAGCGTCATTTACAAATGCGTGCGTATTGATGGGCACATTGTGGCTAATAATTCATACCCAGTATTGATTACTTGTAGCTTTGGTTGGGAGAGAGAACAAAGAGGCCATGATGGTAGTAGTATATATATATATACGTGGTGCACTGTGAACTCCAGCGCTCGCAAGACCCGTCTGTGTTTGTTCTAGTGATGTGAAAATATGTCAGAAGCCGAATGCAAATAACTGGCGCGCGCTCTAAGCACATTTGCATTACGGTATCGTTACAATACCTGCCCCCTAAGGAACCCTGCTGCAAGGCACAGATCATGTTAGCGCGTAATTTCTAGAGGTGTTCGTGTAAATTTACCAATTCGGAAATTAAAGTAGAATTTATAGTCTTACGAGACGGTATCGATTGTGCCCGTGCGCGCGGGTAGAGCATAAAGGAACAGGAATTCTGTAGTGTGGCAGTGTGTATTGATCCCCGGCGGTAGGATTTTGGCTCATTTTGAGAGGCATTTTATTTCGAAATCTATAGGCGCTTTTGCATCTGCAGCCAGCAAATGGGTGTCCGCATTCTCTATTTGTGACGTGTTAAAGCAATTATGAACACGATCCCTACATGGGCGCGCATGCCTGCCTGCGGGCGTGGATGTAAATACGGAGTGATAGTAAACGCTACCGCGATTATTAATAGGTATATGCATCCTTCGGCAATCGGTTATTATTCCCGTCAGTACAGGCAAACCGGATGCTGGTCCTATTCTACCGGCCGCCTGTATGGCATCAGCTGGCTGGTTATGTGTTGATTATTCTGTCGTTGAAGGTTAGTGTCTCCACTGCTTAATATGACAGCTTCCTGAACTGTTTGTACCACCGGTATGATCTATATATATATAGACGGGTGTTTTACCTTGTTCGAATTGCGAAGAATCTATTACTATTAGTCCTAACGTGCATCCATCAGTAGTGTGCGCGTCTTGTAGTTGTACACAGCATACCCATTTTCCGAACACCCATTTTCCGCTGGTTAGACAAGTTGATTGATCATAATTAGCATTCTTGTTTTTTTAATAATTACGTATTGAAATCCATTAAATTTCTGCGCTTTTTTTAAAGGCCGGTCCCTAAAATGTTGTTACTAGGCTATAATTAAACGGGACGTAATGAGTTGTGAGCTAGAATACATAAAAAAGGTAGACGTATAAAACATGCATGAATGCGTTCCAGGACAGCTAGTGCAAGTCGTAAGACATTTATCACTGTATTCTTGCACCGATACACATGTTTAAAGGTTTTCTTTGTAGATGAATCTATATATAATAACAAACACTTGATTTCTAAACGCTGTGATTATGATTAGTGTTTTAATTATCCTAATATATATATATATATATATAACATGTGTATTACCTTAGTCTTACATTAGATTCAATGTACGAAGTTATGCAGCATGTATCTGCACCATTTTCGAAAGATTCAGTAAAATCTTGCATGTACAATATATATATATAGATATATATATAGATATATATACGTGTAATATCGACGATCACTTTCGTATTTCTCCCGCTAAGAGTTTTAACATTTTGGGTTTGTAAGTTTATTTAATTCACGCTCGGTAGTTTTTTACGTAAGTACGTAACTAAACGGGCGATCTAGCAGAGTGTACAATGTAATTGAACTTCCTCTACAAGTATGGGTGCTATATTTTACGTGTATGCGTGTATGTACACTAGTCTTGTACTGTAATGTACTGAATGCTCTGTGCAGAAATTTTACTGTATATATATGGCAGTATGATCACGTTAAGTTAAAATTATTGTATAAGGTTATAATTATATGTATTAAGACGTTTTATAAATATTTAAACACCGGGTTAAATGTACCTGTGTTGTTTTAAAAGAAGTGTGGCTGTGACTTGTTTGCTCAACTCTTATTTAAACTCTCAATCAGCCGTATTGCTGCTGGGTTAACATAGATTTGTAATAAACCAATTCTAATTTCTAATGAATTGATTTACATATTCTGACCTACCGCGTGGGAGACGAGGCAGTAATAATTTTCAGACCGATACGTGGGTGAAACATGTAGCAGGTAATAGATACTAGAATGGCTGGAATTTAGTGGGTGTTAGCATTTAACCTTTTACATCGTTATAAAGATGCCTGTGATTTCAAATCGGCAAAATCCGCGATTTCACGCGTAGCTGTCTGTTACCCATAATATACAGAGCCCAGTGGGATTCTGTCTCTGTGAGTGTTATATCTACGAACAACTCGCAGCGATCGTCATCACCAGCTGTCGGTTATTGCACCTACTGATGCCGTAACAGCAAATTAACGGCAACAGTACAGGCTTCCTACAGGCGACAAGATCACGGGTTTCTGTTCTGGTCGAGAGTGAAACGTGAAATGAGATAGAGCTGACTGCATGGTCAGAAGTTGTTTGACGGCGCTTTGTTCCGGCGATTATGTCGTAAACTTGTCGCTATTCATTCAAGTTCTATCGTTCTAGTGCCATACCTGGCGTGCTTCATAATCATAGCCGACACTTTGATATCATTGATAAAGAAACGTTTAGCAGTGATGTAGAATAAATGTTTGAACAAATCTTCTATTTTCTTAAACTTTTTTACTCTTCTTAAGGTTTTCACGTGCTCAGCGTTAAACACAGGTTTCATAATGCTTACATGCTTAATTATAGATATAAGGGCCTATGATGGCCTGGCAGGGGATAAAATTTTAAAATTATCAGAAAATTGTCCAATATTGCGCAAATGCCAGCACACCGTTTTGCAGTTATATAGAAGCCATTTGTGGAAGTGTTGTTTGTTACAGCAATACCGCAATACGTAAGTTCATATATATCAGGAGTGTATAATATCAACTTCATTATACACTCCTGATATATATGGATTCACTAGTCTACGTACCTCTACATGGGTAGTGTTCTTTGTTTCTGTGTTATTTGGTATAATACGAATATAATGGCAGATGTGCCGGTAGTTTTAAAAACTGCATGTGGGCCTTTGTCAGAATCATCATTGATGTAACATCGTGTCTAAAATGTCATGATGACTTAAAAGTCGTCGTGCAAAAGTCGTGAAATTGTGTAGACATCATAGACACTACTATTTATAGTGTTTCTGACAATAGGCCCCTGACCAGTACAAGGTGTCAATATATGGCTATTTTTAATCATCATGTAAAATAAGGTGCAGGTTTACGCCATTAATGATTACAATATTGTGTATTCAGCAAGTCAAACTGCCATACGAGGCTGGCAGTTGGTATTTCAATGTGCCCATATTTGAACATCAACACGTAATTAACATTTACTAATTTCGTACGTTTTTATTTCCCTTGTTGTTTAATTTGTGTCAAGCTGGAAGTAGATCTATGAGATGGGTCTGGCCAGTTAATAGCGTGTCTGGCGACTCGTGATATGGATTTTGTATCGCTGTACGTCCTCGCGTGTGTTCGGCCTCTTCCCTCAACACGTGCCAATGTCGTGCATGTCGAGCCCTTCAAAGTATTCCTCACTGTTAATGCCAGTATGTGGGCACGCGCGAGCTGCTGTACTCGCGCGCACATGCACAGGCCTAGATTCTGCGATAATTTCAGGGTTGATTTTTTTATGTCTGGGTGAAGTGCGCCGCCTGTTTACTTCACTTTACTGCGAGAATGAAGCTTTACCCCGAGGGTGGGGGCTGGGGGAAGAGAGGAATGCACCGCGCACGGCACGCGCGCGCCGGTTTTGCTGCCGTCTATTTATTCTGGGATCAGAAGCAGCTGTACGCATTAAAATCAGAATGTGCACTAATGAACGACGTCTTCGCTTCTCCACCCCCCCCGCTCTTCGTGATACAGGAGGGAAAGGGAAGTAAATGAGGCGGCGTCTGTGTTCGATTTGCATACGTGCTGTATCGAGCGCGAATAGCGATGATGCGGAATGGGGTTTTACTGCTCATTCCACTCTGCTGAATTCTGATTGGCTTCACTGCGTTCGCGTGTAAACACGCGGGCGCGTGTGCACGCACGCGCGCGCGCATGCACGAACGCACTCGACCGCATCCATGCACGAACACGCGCACGAAATCATGCATACGCGCGCACACACATGTATACACACATACTCGTGCACCCCGGATTCACACGCACGTCACTAACTCGATCGGTCCCTACCGTTTCCTCACAGATGATGAGCATGGAGTCGACATCTCAGATGTCTCCGCCGCAGCGCAACGGCATCTCGGAAAACGGCAGCGGCGAGGAGGAGAGCAAGCCAAAGACGAACCTCATCGTCAACTACCTGCCACAGACGATGACGCAGGAGGAGATCAAGTCGCTGTTCGGCAGCATCGGCGAGATCGAGAGCTGTAAACTCATACGCGACAAAACTACAGGTAGGCTGGCTGCCTCGTCACCGACTGCGAGACGGAGGAGGAGGCGAGAGGCGAGGATGGAGGGTTAGCGGTGGTGTAGCTCTAGAACTAGAGCCCTTCGCTGTGACAGAGCGAAGGGCTATAGTTCTAGAGCTAGCGGTGGTGGAGATTATATGACGAGCTAGCGAGGATGTCGAGGCGTGAGCGTGAAGATGGGGGTTAGTGAGGATATAGATTATCATAAAGGTAGCATGAGAGAATGAGCATAGAGAATATCGTGGGGGAATGAGAATATCATGGGGGAATGAGAATAGAGAATATCATGGTGGAATGAGAATAGAGAATATCATGGGGGAATGAGAATAGAGAATATCACGCGATAATGAGAATATGGATTAACATAGGGGTAGTGAGATTAGACATTTTAATGAGTGTGCATGGATAGAGATTATCACGAGAGAGGGAGGATAGAAATGATCATGATTGAGGATAGAAGTCGGCATGAGGGAGTGAGGATAGAGAACAGTATGAGGGAGTACAGATATCGACTAGCATGAAGATGTAACGATAGACATTGTCATGAGGGAGGATAGTGGTTATCATGGGAGAGTGATGATAGAGTTTATCTTGAGGGAGTCAGTGTAGAAATTATCATGGATGAGAATAGAGATAAAGATCACCATGAAGGCGTGAGACTATAGAGTCACTAGAGATTAGTACGAGCGAGGAAGGGTAAACGGTAAAGGTTTTTCAAAAGAGAGGAAGGGTATAGGTCAGATCGTACCGCTATGGGATGTACACATGGGCGAGACGTCACGTTTATCGAATTGATCAAATTTTAAAGTCACCTCGTTGTAAACATGTCGAATTTTAAAATATCAGCCAGTCGCCGGTTTTGCTTGCCGATCAGCTCGTAGCAGCTGCAAGCAACGTGTTTTTTAACCGGTCTATATTAGGCGAGGCTAACACTATAGCGGTTTTAATAAAACGGCTGTTTATCGCAAGGCCTGTGTGTGTGATCAAACCTGCATGTGTCTGAACACTCGGCTTCTGCTGCAGGTGCACAGTTGCTCGTGCTAATTGCAATTTTAACACATAAATGACTACAAAATCGATATATCGCAATTAGGTATAGTTCCCTTCAAATTTTACTTGGGCTAATTACGCGAGCCGCACGAAGATTGCAGGACACGCAGTGGCAAGCAAGTATCAAGTGTTGTAGCATCGGCGTGCGAACTGCGTACATGCGTGGGTGCCGCTAGTCAAATGCGAATATTCAATTAGCAAGTGTTCGCTACAGTAGGCAATACGGACTTGCATTCGCGATAATAAAAAACCCCAAGCTACTTGTGTTGTGTTTGTACTTGAAAAATTATATCGCGTACATGTTACCATTGACGATTTTGGTGGAATTCAGACTAAAAAAAGTGGCACACATGCAGATTTGCGTTGCGTGCGGATTTAATCAGTGAATCTTCACATTAATGCAATGCACCAAACTGATTTGAATCAATTAATTATTAATGAGGCTTTCACAAATTTTAAATTTGTCATATCGAGTTTAGTCTACGCTGCACCTTGTGGGTGTATAGCGTAGACTAAACTCGAATTGACAAATAGAGCAACCGTACACGTAACTCGGGAATTTACGAAAAAGTGTTGGCAGCAATCATGCAGCTAGCTCTCGGCTGTGACGGCTTCACCATGACAACAGACATAATAGTCCGAAAATGAATTATTTTGTAATTTTCTTCCCGTATTTCACGACCTTACGCCATGCATTTGAGATGCGCGTGTGTGGGGTGGTAGGGCAAACACATTTTTTCCATCTAGACATTCGGTTGCTTCACATTTGTCGTTCCATTATACAGTCGTTAGCGTGATGCTTGAACCAGGAGTTTACGCACGCACGAACACACGGGCATGCACGCACGCACGCGCACACATACGTGCTATAATCACGAGTATGTGTACGGTAATGCGCTACTGCGTGGAAATGCATTTGATTGCAACAGCAAAAGTGTAATTGTCTCCGTGTCATCAATTATGATGGGCTGAACGATTGTCTTGTTGGAGGTGTGTATAGGGCAGAGATGGTGAGGTTTATATTCCTCCTCAAATGTCGTTTATCAATATAGCTAGCAAAATAACCAGTGCTTTAGCCGAAACGTATGAACGCAACCGCAATATTTTGTGGTCAGCAAATAAGAACTCTTGTACATGTTGTAAACCGTGGTTAACGTAATGCCTGTCTGAAGACTTTTCTATTTTGAAGCCTGAAATTTCCCTCGGAAGCTCCGGGTTATTTAGCTTTCCAAGCGTAAAACGTTGGTATTATTCAATTACTGTACAGAGGGCAGGCAAATGCAAAAACTACCACATAACAAAATAGACTCATGGAAAATGCCAGGACGCAGATAGTAAATTATTCATCAGACTGTAAGAAATCAATAACTCGTTGCAAAAACATGACATTTCTGATGAAAACTGAAACCTAGAAATAGCCCGCTGTCATCGCTGGTTTGTTTCCCGCCGCCGTGCCCTCCCGTGCGATGGTTGGGCCGAGCCCGCGGGCGCACACACACGTGAATGCATGGTTCCTCTCTCTCCCCCCACCTTCGCTACAGCTTTGTGTTGTCGTAGTATTGTCCGCGGGATGCGGGGAGGCATGAACGATGCTGCTGCTGCTGCCGCCGCCGCCGCCGCCGCCGTCTGCCCTACAGTGCGACCGCTACACGTCGGTAATTGGCACTCTGCTCGCACGGTCGGATTCAATCATAGCAACCACAGCCGAAACGCTAAGAAATGTGGCCCCTTTTTTGTCCCTAGCTCGCTCTTCATCGGTGGCAAGCCGCGTTCAAATTTATTGATGTCTCTTGTTTGCTTTGTTGAAAGTCTGATATGTCGGTCAATAAGTTATGGTGTGGTTGCCATGGAAACAGTGAGAGAAATTCCAATTCAGAGAACATCTAAAATCTTGTCATTATGCATGTTCATTTATCGGTAGGCATACGAAGACCCTTAATGGATGGGCGGGGTAAGCGGGTAGACTGACCCTATGGCGGCGTGTCGGGCGAATAGTAAACAATTGGAGACGGCTAGCAGAAGGGCATGTGTAGAGCTTGCACCCTGGCACTAGATGTACAGAGGAAGGCCTACTATCGATCCAGTGGTATTTACACACAACCCCGGGGAATGTCTGACTCCGTGTGTGCTCACTGGATGCTTTGCACACGATTGGCTTTGTTCGAGTGAAATTTGCTGAATTGCCGCCCGATATATATTGAAATTTAGCTGGAATGTATTAGGGCTGTCATTCGGTGGCGACAAAATTTGCAAAATAAATATTTTTCGAGGATCAAGCGTGCCCCGAGGCAAGATGAAAAATTCCACTGTCATTTCAGACATCGCGAAAGTGCTGCGGGGCAGATGGAGAAATTACCATATAATATGAGAGACCCACATGTATGCTTCGTAACAGGCAGGCGAAGGCTAATTTGCATGCTAGGGTCTAACAGTAACCCGTTCCACATCCACAGCTGTGTGTTTGGGCAAGCTATTATGGCTGTGGAAATGGTATGTGCACAGCCGATTTTTACATCTAAGCATGCAAACTAACGTTACCATCGAAAAAGAGAGCCCAGTGGAGTTGCAATGTATCCGTGCCATAGTTGGATTGACTTATTAGCGTGGCGTCTCTTCTCGCTGGCTGTCCCAACGTAAATATAATTCCCTCGTTGTTCCCTGTGATCTGAGCGTTTGATCATTTACTTGCCTGTTCTGGCTGGATATTCGCCTGCATCTTCTCTTTACCTCTCCTCAGCTCACCAGCTGCCACCGGCAATATTTCACTGCTACAGCATTAACGTCCTGAACGATGTTTGTATTTCTAGACAGAGCGGGCTGTATCTCGTTGTCTTATGCAGCAATTCGCTATCGGAGAAGACGTGATCGGCGGCGCATTTTTGTGTCAGCCGGCTGTGACTACGGCGAGTGTCTTTAACGGAGGCTGCATTGTCATGGTTACCACGCTCATTGCGTTCGCCGACGCCGTCGATGTATGTCGGCCGGTAAATGCACGTACGAGTTAACGCGCTGTAATGACGCCCTTCGCGCCGTCTTCGGAGATGGAAGCATGTTTGTAATTAGAGAGTCGTACATCGGGGATGACGCAGTGCGGCCTGTAATTAACTTCTCTCCGCGTGTTCAGAGCGAGTGTTTGAAGGCTACACTTGTTCAATAAACACTCGGTGGGCGGCCTCGCATATTTTAAAATTGGTTGATATGGCTGACGATTGCTTGCACCTCGCCTTGAGACTGTGCGGCAGCTGAAGGCATATGATTCGGCGAGAAGGAACTTCGAAACTGTAAAGACACGAATTATGGCTTCGCATGTAGCTGGCGCGGAATGCTTCTGTGCGCGCGCAGGCATTCTGCGCTCGTTCCCTAGACAGGCTCTGTAAGTCTCTGCGAATCTGTGGCGGCCGCAGGGACATAGAATCAGTCTGTTTCTCTTCGCAGTCATGCAGAACGCATCACTTGCTCGAGCGAACATTTGTGTCCTTTCAAGGGTGGTCGTTGTCCGTGGCAGTGCTCCTGAAATGCCAAGAGGTGGCTTGCAAAATGTCAATCTAAGATGCTTGAGACTTTTTGGGTATTATATCATACTGCAACGAAATGCATCTGCATGCACAACAGAGTGTATATTCGTGCTCATTAGAGTATGCTGTCATCGTGATGATACGCCCATGATAACGTTACATTCTGATATCATCGTAAAAACTGAACGCAAAAATGCGCTGTTTTTTTCTCGCAAACATCAAGCATATATCAAGAGTAGATAATAACACAAGAGTGAGACACTCGATTACCGCATTTTTAACCGATTTTTCTCATCAAAATTTGCCACCAATAAAGAAGCAAGTGTATACGTTCGTCAGCTTATTATGACCACTAATCACTCACCTTCGTGGTACTGATATTCGTTTACATATATTTGCTAGCGAATTGCTGTAAATCGT